CTGAACCCCAATACATGTTTTTTTAAATCCATAGTTGTTACCCATAACTACTAAGATAATGCCAATGACATACAAAAACAACGCTGAGTGATTCCCAAAGCCATCTAGCCACAAATTCTATGTCTGATGGGGAAATAAACAAAAGTAATAATCATTTTCCTCAGTTACACCCAATTCTATACTATTCAAGACACTGTCAGGCATTAAAAGACTGATGAAACTGAAGAGCTATCACTACAGAGCTAAAGAACAGCAAATTAATGACAGCTGGGCCAGTACGGAAGCCAGAACCTTTAGCCAGTGGCCAGCATCGTACCTTTGACTTGGCATCCTCTGGGTCATCTCCCCTGGAAGCCAGCAGCATGAGTCTCAGGATCAGGCTAATGTTGAGAGGGAACTGTCCTCTCAGCTCAGGAACCTTAGATTTTATGAGTTTTTTTACTTTGGGCAATGGAATATCAAAGAAATATACATCTCCCATTAAGTCTTGACCTCTTCTTCCAGCACGGCCTGACATCTGGAAACAGAATAGAGTCACAATGAGAGACTTCCCTATGATCTTTTCCTATCATAGTATAAGAACTGTGCCTTTCTACTGGTTTAGAGGAAGTAAATTGTGCATCTGCCCAATTATTAACCAAAACTAATACCCAACTATGTAGTGCCTGGGAAGTTTATCATGACCGAGTCATAGGTGGAAAATGAGACATGTATTATTACTAGGTACTTATTTCATGCTATTAATTGTATTCAACAGTTGTATACTGATCTATTAAACAATGGAAAACAGCGAGAAAGACTGGACCCTGGTTTCAGGTTTGCTTACAACTGAACTCTGTTACGCCAATTTTATCTCCCTCTCCATCTTTCCTTTTTCTTATCCCTTTTTGACTTGCCTTATCACACATGCTTGTTGAGTTACAAATCACAGAGTAATAATTATGCACAAATTGAGAAAATACATGACTGAAATGAAATTCAGAAATGCTACTTATGAAAAGCCAGTTAAGGGACCAGCAGTTGGCATAGTGGCTATGTTGCTGGATTCTCATGTAGTCGACCGTGGTTGGAGTCCCGAACCCAGTGGCTTAAACTCACACCGGGTGTGTGTGCATGCATGTCCAAGATCCAGAGAAGAGAATGGAGGAGAAGGGATTGTTGCGTGGCCACCCTCCTGGAGGGTGATTTCTCGCTGTCTTTCTGTCTCTCTCTGTCTTTCTGGCAAGCACACATGCCCTATAGCAAAAAACTCTCAAAATTAATTAATTAGTTAATTAATTAATTAAAATAAAAAGCACATTAATAATAAACTTCAGGACCAGCAGATGGCATAGTAAAGGCTTGGGACCAGCAGATGGCGTAATAACTAAGTCACTGGACTCCCACATGGCTGACAACAGTTTGAGTCTGGGACCCAGCAGTTTGAAACTCACACCAGGTGTATGTATCTATGTGCTCAAAATCCCTAGAGAAGAATAGAGGACAAGAGATTGCAGCATAACCATCCCTTCAAAAGGTGCCCTATAGCTAAAACCTCTTAAAAAATAAATTAATAAACTCTAAAGAAGTTATATTCTCATTTATTAAATGCTTAGAATGTGCTAAGTCCTGTATAGGTTCCTATACAGACCTCGCAATAACATGAGGTATACATCATCATTATCCTCAGTGTACAATGGGAAAACGGGCATGGAGAAATAAGAAACTTGTCCTTAGTTAAGCATTCAGAAAATGAAATATCCAGGGCTCAAACCCTGGTATTTCAATTCCTAAATCGATCACCCAAGTATCATCCTTGCTCCAGCATCCAAAACAGGAGATTCCCAAAGATGAGATTAGAAAAAAATTCATGCAGAATATTGCCACAGGAATCAAAATGAAAGACAGGGTTTCATAAAGTTGTAGGAAATAATAAGGATATTATATTGGGTAGGAAGAAGGTGCACGAAAAGACCAATCAGTGTTTAGAGAAGAGAGGGTGATACTTTGATTAAAACATGAGTGTTGGGTGATATATCTATATTTGATGCAGACAGTAGACCTATTCATCAAATATTCCTGAGCAGGAAAACCACATGAAGACAAACTATGCCATCTGCAAGCCAGAGTATAAGAAGGAGAATCGAGAATCAGAAAAACTATTCTCATGATAGAAGGCCAAGAATGTACAATTAAAGTTGGTGGATATAGAAACTACAAGGCAAAAGTCAAATAACACTCTAGGAAAGCAGGCTTAGTAATAGATGAGGTGTGAGTAGCAAAAATGAGGAAACCATTAAAGACAGATCTAGAGTGTCAAACTTTGTGCACACTAAATGAATAAGCAAATGTTTATGGAGCACTTTGATGTATATCTTTTGTTTTACAATCCATATCATTTAATTCTTGCAAATGTTGTGAGATAGCAAATTTCATGCATATCCTGGAGACCGAAAAGGAAGATCAGGCAGTTCAGATACCTGAGCCAAGGTCACCTGCCTGGTTAGTAGTAGTCACAATAATTCCAAACTCATGAGCTTTCCACTACCCCGCAGTTTAAAATGCCAGCTAGGCAGGACCAGCCCACAGCATAAATGGTTACGTTGCTGGACTCCCATGTAGTAGACTGCGCTATTCAAGTCTCAGATCCGGCAACTTAAAACTCATGCAGGGTACATGTGCATGTGTATCCAATATGACCAGAGAAGAATGGAGAAGGGATTGTGGGGTAGCCATCCCCACAGGGAATGATTTCTTGCTTTCTGTCTCTCTGTCTTTCTGGTGAGCACACGCTCCCTCTGGTAATAATCTCTCTGATAAAAAAGCCAGCTAGGCACAGATGAATGTCAGTTGTGCTAGACCATGAACTGCAACATGTTTCTGAAGTAATCCAACATGACCAGAGAAGAATGGAGAAGGGATTGTGGGGTAGCCATCCCCACAGGGAATGATTTCTTGCTTTCTGTCTCTCTGTCTTTCTGGTGAGCACACGCTCCCTCTGGTAATAATCTCTCTGATAAAAAAGCCAGCTAGGCACAGATGAATGTCAGTTGTGCTAGACCATGAACTGCAACATGTTTCTGAAGTAAAGGTTCACATTTTTTTACTATTGTTTGGCCATATTTTAGCAAGACAATGAGCAAGTTTATGCAAGTGGCAATACCTGTCTGTAATTTAAAGCATCCAGATACACTGAATTTTGAGCAAAAACCACGGATTTACAAGGCATATTGACTCCTAAAGCAAGTGTCCCTGTAGCTGTCACCACCTAGAAAGAAAAGAAAACAATTACCTCATCAAATAGGATAGAATTTCAATAGAATGCAAGTATTTTCTGCCCTAGAGTTGCTGAAAAACTCTTTGAACTTCAACCAAACCACAGAGATAAACTAGAGGTACTAAACTAATTGTTCTTGCTATTTCATAAACACACCAAGCGCATGCCCACCTCTTACAGTCACTATTTGCTCTTATGCATAATATTCTTTCTCAAGATATTCATTTGTCTGTTTTATTTTTTAATTGTCTGCTCAAATGTCACAGAGAACTGTCTAGACCACCACACATAAAATAATCATCCTCTACCACCAGTATCTATCTCTTTTTTATGTTATTTATATTCATAGTATTAATCATAGTATTAATGGCGAGTTCAGTACTATTATTTGTTTGTTCATGCGTCCTATCCTGAACTCTGAGAACCACTCAACCTTGTATCCTCAGCACACAGAAGTGTTAGTACCTAGCTCATGATAAGTGTTCAATAAACATTCTTTTCTTTTTAATTTTTTATAGAGATATTTGCTATAAGGTGCATGTGCTTGCTGGAAAGACAGATGGAAAGACAGAAAGTGAGAAATCACCCCCAAGCGGGGATGGCCATACCACAATCCCTTCTCCTCTATTCTCCTCTCAGGATTTTGGGCACGCATGCACACAAGCCCAGCAAGAGTTTGAAGCCACTGGGTCTAGGACTTGAACCACAGTAGACTATGTGGGAGTCCAGCAATGTAACAATTACACCATCTGCTGGTCCCAGTAAGCATTCTTAAGTAAACAATTAAAAAGGGGATTTACCTATGGAAGGGCAAAAATAGCTTTACAAATCCACTTCCAGGCAATTACCTAGTTCATCTACTAAAATGTGTTGAGGTCCTATCTATGGAAATAACATATTTCAGTAATTATTTTTAATTTTGCTATAAGGCGTGTGCACTAGCTGGAAAGGGACAGAAAGAGGGAAAGTGAAAAAGCACCCCAAGTGTGGATGGCTGCACTGAAGTCCCTTTTTCCCGTTCTCGCCTTGATATTTAGCATGAATGTGCTCCCAGCATGTCTTTCAAGCTGCTGGGTCCAGAACTCAAACCTTGCTGTTGGCCATATGAGATCCAGCAACCTTAACCACCACGCCACTAGCTACCTCTCTGAGTAATTTTTACTTCAAAACAGTTTCTTTTTTTTCCCCCTGAATTGCCATAAAAACTTGAGTACAAAAGCAGTAGGAGAATTTAAAGTTTATTTAGATAATCCAGCTTTTTGACCTTTTTTTTCTCATTTCTATTTGTGCTCTCTTTTTTCTAATTTCCAGAGGACATGAACTTGCAAGAGAGAGAGAGAAAGAGAGAGAAAGAGAAAGCATTACTTAATGGAACATGATCTCACTGTAGCCCCTTCTCCATTTCTTTATTCTGTCAGGCTCTGGGGGGTACACACATGTACCTGGTCTGTTTTACAAGCCACAGGGACTCAGTTCACATGGTCAGACATGTGGAATCTGACTCTTATAACCATTAGGCCACAAGGCTGACCCCTCTTTCTCTTTATATTGGCTATTAGATATGTCAAGGCTAGTATTAACATTTAAGCATATGAAGTAATTGTCCTTATTCTTTTCTTTTTTTAATTTGTCAGAGGGTGCATTCACTCACCAGAAAGAGAGAGAGAGAGAGACAGAGGGAGACAGAGGGAAAGTAAGAAAGCACCCACATGGCAGATAGTCACACTGCAATCCCTTCCCCTCCATTCCATCCTCCATTTGGGATTTTGGGCACGCACGCACACACACACACACACACACACACACACATGCCCAGCATGTGATTCAAGCCCCTGGGTCAGTGATGCGAACCATGCAGTCGACCACGTGGGATCCAGCCACCTAAACCACCATGCCATTGGCTGGCCTAATTTCCCCTAGTCTGAAACTGAGCTCTATTTATCCAAAACTGCAGCACACCATTTACTAACTGTTTTCCAAATACAGGACAAAAGTGGGGAAAGTAAAAACATTACATTTTGACAATAACGAGGATAGCTCTTGAAAAATGTATTCTCTATAACAAAGCTATCACTATTTCCATAGTGTCCTGTTTAGAGTGATCTAGCTATTCATTTATTAAATTACTAAAAGTTTGGCAGCTACTATTTAAAAGATACTATTTTAGACACAGAATATGCAGATGAAAACAGATGCACCTCTATGCCTGCAATCCTGCAATTCATAATTATTTCAAAAATTCTGTATTTAGTTATTAACTTTTAAAATAAATAAATAATTTGTTATTAGTTAAGAGAAAAACTAAGCCACATTTTTAATAATATATTTTGGTTTTTGCAGATAGCAGAATTACCCTTTAAGTATGGGGTTATATTTTCTTCAATGTTTTGTTCATTAAAATTAAAAACCAGTGTCTCTCTCTCTTTCACTTGCTCTTTCACATACACACATGTACAAATATAATATATTTCATACAAAATTTAGTATGGATAAATTTTTTTAAGTCAGGGTTTTTTTGTTTGTTTTTAAGACATTTTTGTCTTAGGGTGTGTGTGCTCGCCAGAGAGAGAGACAAAGTGAGAGGGAAAGTGAGAAATCACCCCCTAGGGGGAATGGCCACACCTCAATCCCTTCTCTTTCATTCTCCTCCTGAGATCTTGGTCACACACACACACACACAACATACACACACACACACACACACACACACACGTGCCTAGTGTGAGTTTTAAGCCACCAGGTCCGGGATGTGAACCATGTTCGGCCATGTGGGAGTCCACTATACCCTCTGCTTGCCCCCAGGTTTCATTTTTAAATATTACTCAAGATCCAAAGTTACTAAGAAGTTATAGTAAATCCCCTTTGTGAATTCATATAAAATAGGCCCATGTACCCTCATGGACATACTAAATAAAACATAACAAGGGTTTGGTCTGAAAGTTATTTAAGTTAATCCTCTTGTTTGCTACCAGTAAGGGGAGAGGAAATATTTAAGAGTGCCAAGGTATGCAGCAGGCCCTGAGAAGGCAGTATCTTTTTGTTCTTATTTCAGCTATTAGGAAAAAACTCCGACCCAAACTCTAAGGGTCCTCCAAACTCATGTGAAAATGTTTGTAGGCAAAATTACATGGACAAGGGCCAGTCAGTGGTGTGGTGTTTACGATGGCTGGATCTCACATAATCAACTATGCAGCTGAATCCCTGGTGGCTTGAGAAACAACTGGGAATTCATGCATGTGTGTACAAAACCCTGAAAAGAGAATAGAGGAGAAGGGATAGTAGCATGGCCACCCAACACCCCACAGGAGGTGCTTTCTCATTCTTTTTCTATGTTTCTATCCAGCAAGCAAAAGCACCTTATAATAATTTTTTTTAAAGATTTAATGAAAGCAGTGGTATGGAGGTTAAGATACTGGATCCCACAAGACCATCTGTGGTGTTCAAGTCCCAGACTTGGTGGTTTGAAAATAACACCAGGTGCATATGTATGTATGCCCAAAATCCTGAGAAGAGACTGGAGGAGAAGGGATTGCACAGTGGTCATCCCCGCTGGGGAAGGGGAGTGATTTCTTGCTTTCCCTTTTTCTCTCTCTCTGTCTCTCTCTGACAAGTGCACATGTCCTAGAGCAAAAGCAAACAAATAAAAACTTTTATGGGCAGCTGAGAAAATTCTCTAGATACTAGGAATAAAAAAGCAAGGGGATGTGTCAAGATCAGCCTACGTATATTTTATTATATAAATATTTGGGCAAGTATCTGTTTCAGAAATATTTTTATTTCGCTGAAAATAAGATTAGCTGAATGTACATTTCAACCCCCTCCCCCTCCCCCAATTAAATGAGATGAGGGAGATACAGTGACATCATGGGTTGTAAAATAAAAAAAAGAAGAAGACACCATTACAGGAGGAGGGAAAAATGGTTATACCTTTTACTTTTCATGAACATTCAGCTTCATATAGTCACAAATGTTCCTAAATGGAAACATTACCTACCCTAATAAATCCTTTCCTGAAGAGAATTTCGACCAACTGTTTTTCTTTGGCAGTCATAGAACTGTGATGATATCCAATGCCCCTGACTGCCAAATCTTTCAGTTCTGCACCTTTTCTTTGGAATTTTACTCGATCAAACACCATCTGCAAAGACTAAAAGAAGCAAGAGGTTTAGGAATTTTGGTAATTTTTTTCTAATTTTAATGCAAATCATAAACATGTGTAAGTGAAAATAACATTCATACTACGGGATAATTTGGCCAAATAAGACAACTGCTTGAAATGAACTCTCCATGAATAAAAAGACTATCTTATGGCAGCAATAGTAACTGCAAGAAATATCTTCCCAATTCTTTGAACAGACTGTCTCAAATTGTCTTACTTTACTTCTAGGGTGGGGAGGGGGAACTACTGGCAGAGTAGTGGGTAAAATACCCAGGACAGTTACGAGCACATGACCTGCACTGCCTGAGGGACATCACCTGCTACAAGAGCTTTAGGAGTTCATCCAGAGAGAAGGCATTGCAGGTTCCTTACTGTATAGCCAGAGAATGCTGACTTCCCACTGCACATTTGTCACATATAGCTACAAATAGCCACGTCCTAAGGAATAAATGCAGTTGTGTGCAGAGTTGTATGTTCAAAGATAAATACTACTTCTGAGAGAGGGGAATAAAAGGGTTAACTTCTTTTTTTTTAAAGAGTTATTTATTTTATTTATTCATTTTTATTTTAATTTGACCAGAGAGAGACACAGAGAGAGAGAGAGAGGGAGGGAGAGTGAGAAAGCAAGCCACCAGGTCCAGGACTCAAACCGTGGTTGGCCATGTGGGAATGTCCAGCGCCTTAACCACCACGCCATCTGCTGGTCCCAAGGGTTAATTTCTTTAAAGCCTATGCATCCAAAAGTAGGAGGCTCATTGCTGGTTATTTCAATTGTATCACCATGTATCTAATGAAATGTCAGAGGTCTATTAAAATGTTAATATAAATATATAGTTATGAAAAAAGAAGAGAGGGCTGACTCTTTGGCCTGGTGGTTAGGGGAACCAGATCCCACAGAGTTGATCATGTGGTTGGAATCAGGGCCCTGGCACCTTGAAAAACACATTGAGTGCATGTGCATGTGTGTCTAAAATTCCAACAGGGTGGAGAAATGGAGGAGAAGGGATTGTGGCATGACCACACTATACCTAGGAGTACTTTCTCCCTCTCTTTATCTCTGTATCTCTGTCACTCTAGCCAGTACTCATGCCCTCTGACAAATTAAAAAAAAAAAAAAAAGAGAGAAGAGACCATGAAGTTTTACAGAAGAAGATATCCAATAGACCATATACATACATATATACATATGTGTGTGTGTATATGTGTGTGTGTATTATACATATTTGTTTCTAATTTGTATTTTCTTATATGAAAATTTGCCAGAGGGCTCAACTGCTGGCAGAGAGTGGGGGAAGTAGGAGAAAGTGAGAAAACGCTCCATGAGGGATGGTCATGCCATGATCCCTTCTCCTCCATATTTCTCTCCTTTCAGGATTTTGGGCATACACACACATGCTCCCAATATGTATTTCAAGCCACCAGAGCCCGGATTTGAAGAGCACCAGGTCCTTGAAAGTCCCCTTCAAGTCACCACGTCCAGAACCCAAATCACATATGGTACCTAGCCACCATAACTACCATAGCACTTGCCGGCCCAACCTTATCCTTTTTAAATATGCACTGCAGAACCCTCAAGAATTATGTGTAGCCAGAAGACCCCACTCAGAGACTTCTCTTCTGGTAGGGACTGTGATTAGTTCTTAGGTTAAACACTGGCTATAACTAAAAAAACCTATGGCTGAAGAATGAAATAACCTCCTGGAAACAGCACTCACATCAGCATCTATGGCTTTCTGATCAGCATATGTGCAGTCCTGAGGAATTTTCAGGTTCTTCTCTAGACACTTCAGTAGATTATCATGTTCAGCTTCATGGATCAGGCTTTGATCCATTTTTCTGGTTTTTTTCTGGCTTTTTTCATCTCTGTTTATAAAAAATAAAACTGTAAGTAATAAATATTTATATTCAGCCAGTCATATCCCAAGATTTCTTTCTTCTTCTTCTTTTTTTGATAGATATTTTTGCTATAGGACATGTGTGCTCGCTGGAGAGACAAAGAGACAGAAAGCAAGAAATCACCTCCAGATGGGATGGCCATGCTGCAATCCCTTCTCCTCCATTCTCCTCCCAGGATTTTGGACATGCATGCACATGCAGCCAGCATGCATTTCAACCTACAAGATCTGGGACTTGAACCATGGTTGACTACAAGAGAGTCCAGCAATGTAACGATTGTATCATCCACTGATCCTAGTCCAAGAGTTCTTAAATCATTCTGATCATCAAGATTTTACTGCTGAATACATGAGTGCTACCATAATGAAATCTGCTTCCTTTAATGCACTTCCTGTTCAGGCTCTGAAACGCCCAAAGTACATGTTCATGTCTTCTGTGATATTCCTGTTCCTTCTTGTTGTATCCTTCCTGCCAAATCTCTCTCCCCCCAGATGACTCTGCTTCTTCTAGCTAAAATGACGGTCACTTTCTCTTCCACAGCCTTCACAATACTAAGCTTAGAGGAAAGGTAGGTGATTTCTTTGCTCTGCATTGCCAGTTCTAGGCCATTCTCCTTCCCTCCTTGCCGTGGATGCTACAGCTGTTGAATTTGGTTTCTAAAGCTCTTAGATGCACCATTCCCTGAAGAATTGGCCTCAACTAACAGAAGTCTCTTAGAAAGGCCTTGGAGGTTACAATCCACAATGCACAGTTGCTCTTGTAGCAACCGATATTCCTCAGGCAAGGACAGGTTGGACACTCACACCTTCCCTGGGTGTTTTATCCACTACTTTGCCAGTAGTTTGCACCCCAGAATTGAGGTAATACAGTTTGAGATGGTGTGATCCAAAGATTTGGCAAGATTTTTCTAGTAGTTACTATTGCTGCCATAAGATGCTCTTTTTATTCGTATAGAGTCAATTTCAAGCAATTGTCTCATTTGGTCAAATTATTGCACAGCATGGGATAAGTAGATGGTGTAATTGTTACGTCACTGGACTCCCACATAGTGGACCACAGTTCAAGTTCCAGACCCAGTGGCTTGAAACTCACCCCAGGCATGTGTATACCTGCATGCTCAAAATCCCAAGAGGAAAATGGAGAAGGGATTGTGGCATGGCCATTTCCCCTGGGGGATGATTTCTTGGTTTCTGAGTTTTTCTGTCTCTCCAGCAAGCCATGTGCCGTATAGCAAAAATTTCTTTTATAAAAAAACTTATTACATAATATGAATGTTATATTCAAGTAACCCACAGCCAATGACTAACTGAGATGAGGTGTAAGTATCAGTCTCTTTGACTCAAAGTGGGACTATTCTTTGGTGCCCTGAGCTTCCAGTAGGATCAGGTTTAGTTTAAAATCCAGTGGAATCCACATCCTTACTTATTGTCTTTGGCTTCCCTTTCCTGCCTCCCTCACTTTTTTACATGTTTGTACCCCTTCCATAAGTCACTTATACAGATATACCCATTTCAGCATGTGTGACTAGGGCATCTGAGCTAAGACTCCTCTCTATAAACCATCATTAAACTCTTACATCATCAGAATGGATTACCCATGACCCCTCAGTGTACTAGCCTTTTATATGCACCCCGATCACTTATCCTTTCTTTCATTTTTAGATCTTTCTTTTAGCTGTGTACATAAGACAATTATAAATATGAGATGAATTCATTGCTAAATGTTCTCCCTTCCAACTAACATCAGCCTCAACTCAGGGGAGAATGCCATGACTATGTCTGGCATTTTGACTCAGAGCATGATGCAAAGCATGAGGCTGACATATTGTTGTTTAACCAAAAGTTTTTCATCAAGCTAACCAACATTCATCATCTTCCCTTGAAAATATAGCTCCATAACAATCTGGAATTTCAAAGGGTGGGCATGTCACTCTACTGACACCATTTTATGGGAATGGAAATAGATGGAGCAGGGTCAGAGAGGTACTCTTTAAAGCATAGAGCCCAAGGCAGAGTACGCCTCAACCACAGAATAATGATAATGCTGCATACAACATCAAAATACTCTTTATTTTTATAGCTTGAATTGTCACTAATCCAGTTCAAAATATGACTGCTAGTGCCCTGATGAAAAATTATCTATAAAGAATCAGTTACTAAGATGGCTTACATATCCTTCAATCTTGTATGGCTCTTCACCCCCTTTACATCTAAAGAAGTATCAAAACAAACAAAAGGAACATAAACAGAGGGATTGGAGAAATCTGAATCAGAGACATTCTAAATGTTGGTTCAACTTGGAGGAAAATATTTACCATCCATTTAAATTTATAATAGAACAATTATTATCTGCCAGTCAGTGTGCTAAGCATTGGAGAGGAAGACAGAGAAACACATGGTCCCTGTTGTAAAGGAATTTAAAATGTGGGATAGAGAAACATATACTTTGTATGAAATAAGAATGCATTATAATTCATACACTAACTGTGAAAAGTGCAGCAAGAACACAGGAGAAAAGGTAGTAAGTCTACTGGGGCAATGAGGACAAGATTCAGAAAAGAAATAGCAAAAATGGTGAGTATAAGGGGCAATAAAGAAGGAGGGCACTGAGGGCAGAGAAGTCAGATCATGGAAAGAAAGAGGTGAAAAAGTAAGTCAACTGAGGAGAACCATAAATGTTGAGTATTGCTAGAAGGGAAAGGCCAGAAGTGAAACTGGAAAAAGTTATGGTAGAGACCAAAGTACGTTGGCATAACACTAACAATCAAGGAGTTTAGACTCTTGCAGCTAAGAAAGGAAGAAGAAAAACTACTGAACATGGGATCACTTTTAAAATGTGAAAGTTTGCAAGATCATTTGTTAGCTAACTGAGAGAGAGGTGAATCTTAAGGTTCTGACTCACAAGAAGACCTCTGCAATGATCCAGGCAAGACATAATGAGCATCTAAGCAAGGCTGTGAGTAAGGTGGGAGAGCGCCATAGGGTGAGAATCAACATTCTGGGTCTAGTGGAGACAGAATTAGACACTGAAAGCAAAGAAAAGGAGTCACAATATCAAAGAAAGGAATCACAATATAAAAATTCAAGCATGAAACTGGTATTCCAATTCATTCTCAGGCTCATTCCATGGTCACACTGGAACAGTATTGGGGGTATAGCAACAAATATGATCCTTTGCAAGCGTGACCCAGATGGGAAGTTTTCACATTTTCTGTCTGAAGACCTCCCTATGGACTCCAAGCATGTGTGTGCCCATCCTCTGGGGCTGGCTGAGGACAGAGGGCAGATCGCAGCATCTGTACCCTGCTGGAGACATGCACTGTCTCTCCTCTCTACATCTATCTCTCTAAGGGAGAAATAAATAGACTTTTTTTAAAATAGTGAAAGAATATTAGTGATCCATCTTTGTTGTAACTCCAGACAATGTGTATAAACTATGCTTAAGCCTTCTGAGGGCACACTGAGAGTCAGAGTTCACATATTTGTCAAAAATGGGTTTATTTTGAAGAGTGATTATGTCAGATGACATCATCTAGCCACACTGCTGGGTTGTGGTTTTATCTCTCCCAAGTCATTAATAAGACTGATGTATGCAACTAAAGAAATAGAAGATTATGGCCACTTATTTTTATCCCATTCTCCCACCCAAATTTACTCAATTTGCAAATAAAGTGCCAGCAATAACTAGAACTTCTTTGTAGAGCTCCCTACCCAGGACTCATGAAGTATTTTGACTCTTTGGGCACCAATTTCTTTCGTTAAATACTTACATTATCTTTTGTTTCTCTATGGATTTTTTAACTTTTCGAAGTTTGTTAGCCATGATCTGAGCTTCTTTATCAGCTTTGGGAGGCCTTTTTTCCTCCTGTTTTTCCTCCAGAAAATGACATGCACTTCTAGCACTGTTTTCTACAGATCTTAATTTAAATCTGAAAACAAATGAAAAGAATGCTTGCCATGAATATTTCAGTAGCAAGCTATATTTCCTTTTGATGCCAAGTTGAAATAGAAGTTAGCACAATGGTAAAGTAAAGATTAAGAAAGTGACAAACTATGTCACGGGGTGAGACATTTTGTATACCAGACAATAAAAGAAGAATAAGAGAAGCTTATATTTACTAATGTTAGACCCTATTTTAAGTGGTTTAAATATAGTAACTCAATGTATTGGTTTGTCGGAAAAGTCATGACACATTTTGGCATAGAAAAACAGAAAAAAAAAAAATACATCACAACTTTTCTGACAACCTAATAGTACTCATGAAAATTCTAAAAGAGAGGAGCTATTATTATTCCTATTTTCTATTTTTTAGATGAAAAAAAGAAGATAATAATGAGATGAAGTGACCTGTCCATGAGCCAACAGTTTGTATGTGTCAAGATCTAGCCTCCAAGCCTACGTCCTTGACTGTGACATTATGTTGTTTCTCTTTTAATACTAATGACATTTACTGAGGTCCAAGCCCATATTACCTTGTCAAATGATGACATTTTCACCATAGTACTTCCCTTTTTAGAAATCCAGATCCCTTAAAAATAATTTGGTCTATTAAATCTCGCCACAGATCTATTAGGATGAATGTGCTTTCCAGACTGGACCTTAGTCAATAATACTTTCTAGCACTGTATGGAGTACTTCCATAACTTATTTTATGTATCCCCCCCCCATCCTATGTATTGTTATTTTTAACATTTCATTTTGTAAATGAGGAAACTATGGCACAAAGTCATTAAGCAGTTGTCCCAAAGTGACAATGCTAATAGGTGACGGGGTCCAAGCCTGGATGTGGCCATGAAGTACGTACCCTTGAGCATACACTGATATTACGCCAAACAGAAAACATGCTCCACACATTTCTTGTTCAGAGATGGGATTATATAAGGATGCCAAATACACCACTATTTGAAAATACCCTATCTTAGGGATACAGCTCGAACCATAATTAACCCTCAGATCTCTCACTAATCTGGGCTACTTAGTACTAAATCAAAGTGAGGTAAGAGCCAAGAGTCCCAGTAAATTTTGTAGAGAACCCAAAATTCCATAGTAACAAACTTAAAGTCACCTCTTCCAGTAGAATTAAACCTTTAATGTTTTTGTAAAATAATGTACTGTTTAAATATCTTAAGCATGTTAAGGCATTCAGAACCCACCACCCCAAAATATGGTATATGGCTTATTTTGAGTTCAAGGCACTTGAAAAAACGGCAGGTATGGATCACTCTCTTTGCTCTTAAAAGTGGGAGATTATTGACCATTTGAAAGATGTTCACCCTATATCAGAAGAAAAATAACTTTCTTAATATCAAGTACAGAAAGTTGAGACCAAGAGAAGCCTGTACAAACAGACCTTTTTTGAACTAAATAACTCTTTTCTTTCTGGTCACATCACCTAGTTATTTATCCTAGCACAGACCTTTTGCTATGTCATGTTTTCACAATGTATTACTTTTTGTACAATACAATATGTGTGCTCATCTCTAACTGCATCTTTAGGACTTCATTTTTTCATGAAGACTCCTGTACCACAGAAAAATTACATTAAATAAATTTGTATGTTTTTCTCCTGTTGATCTGCCAATTTAATTCTTAAGTCCAGAGGAGGCAAAACTTTACCTCTTATTACGTCAGGATTTTTCAGTTGGACTTACAAATTAAGCTTAAATTAAATAAACAAAAAACAAAGCAGTAATATAAAGGTCATTTGTAATAGTACGAGTAGAAATATTTTATAAGAATTGAATTGAGAGATATATTTTTAAATAAAATGTATGATTTCATATAAATATGTACCAAAAATGGCAGTTAATATGACACTAAAACAGTAAAGTTTGTATAACTCTCTGCACATTAAAGGAATAAGTCTGATATAAATTATAAGCAAAAACACATTACATTAAGTAACTTACAAAAAAAAGATTGCAGGTAACTTCCCCATTTTCTGTAGCTTTTCAACCAGAAGTGGAAATATATATAACATGTTTTCTGGACTAAAACCTAAATCAGGACTAAGATTCTCCAGTACATTTTTGACCTGCAGCAGTGAATAAAAAAATTATTTGCATTAAGTTCTACATTACAAATAAATTCCTAACTTTTGGCTAAAATATTTTTATAGTTTCCTAACCTATGTTTCTGTGATACTTTCAAATAGTCCTATTAAAGTACATTATAAAACTATCTAAAGAGCCATCAAAGAAATATATAAATCAATATTCTAGAGAACAATAATTTGGCCACACACACACACACACACACACATACACAAAAATGAAACTTAACATGCTATTATTAAAGGGAAAACAAATCAGTCAGGAAAGAAAGATTATTCAGTTAGTGATGCTGATCCCACTATGTCAGGAAAAATGAAATGAATTAGTTTCTCTCCATCTCATACAGAAAAATTATTTCCAAATACAGTTCCAATGACAAAATAATTAGAAGAAAATATAAATTAATTAAATTATGTTTCTGAATGGTAGAAAATTAAGTATAATGGTAAAAAATTATATGATCAAATCTCATATACGTTTCTCCTAAAAAATCAGAAACCTTAATCTGTGACAATAAAGCAAGCCTGATAATAAAAAAAACATCAACTTACTTAAAATGCTTAAATAATTTATAATTTATACGACTCCAGGTTAACATTTTAATACACAAATAGCTTCTACAACTTGAAATAAAAATCGTTAAGAGGAAAAAAATCCTTCTAAGATAAAAAAAAAGGAAAAATAAAACATTCTTTCTCAGATAGTACTACTGTGAGTTCAGTCTTTACCACCTAGGCATCAACAATACCATCCTATGGAAAAAGAATCCTTCATTCTCATCTGTTATAACATCTGGGAAGACCAGTAGCTTTTGCACATGTTTCAGGAGACACTGAAGATAAGACAATGACCAATTTCCTTTCTGTCTTTAATTCTATCTCAGAATTACTACACTTCATGTCAAATTATTTCCAAAATGAAAGTCAAAGATTAAAAAAAGATAAAATATTATTAACAGAATAATATAACCCAAGAAAACCAAAAAGAATATAGGGCACTTAGCCAAAACCATGAATATTACCTCCTCTTCATTGCCATTTTTGATCCAATTTCTTAATTCTTCCTTTAAACTCTCTTCATATTTTCTAGCATCCAACTTTTTGATGACTATTTTATTTTTAAGATGAATGGAGTTCTCTGGACACAGTTCCTTAAAGATAAATATCACAAAGTTGTATAAAATCATGCCCAAAACACTAAGTAACATGTTTAACTAACAGCATCACAAGTTTCTTGGGGTAGAAATGGTTAAATTTCTTTTCCCCTCCTCATAGCGTCTAATACATAAAGCTACTAGGATGGATGAATCCCTCAAAGGAAAGGATGCAGAGCAAAGCTAAGGAGATAGTCAAAACAGAGAGTAATAGTACATAGAGAAAGGACACACATTTAATAATAACAATAAAAAAAGAAGAATACATAAATCCAAGGTGTAAGAGATTAAAATATTCTAGGGAACCAGCAGTTAGCGTAATGGCTATGTCGCTGGACTCCCACGTAGTCGACCGCGGTTCGCGTCTCGGACCCGGTGGCTTAAATCTCACGCCGGGCGCGTGTGCGTGCGTGCCCAAGATCCCGAGAGGAGAATGGAGGAGAAGGGATTGCAGCGTGACCATCCCCTCTGGGGGGTGATTTCTCACTTTCTGTCTCTATGTCTCTCTCTGTCTGTCTGGCGAGCGCACGCGCCCTATAGCGAAAACCTCTCCAAAAAAAAAAAAAAAAGAGATTAAAATATTCTAGTATCCCAAAAATTAAAAAAAGACATACTTCCTGGAATTAAAACCAAACACAATTTAAAACCCATTAGAGCACAAAATGTGAGGGAAAAAAATGCATGAGAAAGGGCAATTGTATTTTTGACGGAGTCTACTAATAATTTTAAAAAATCACATGCAAGGTTAGCAGGTGGTAAAATAGTTAAGGCGCTGGATTCCCACATATCTGACTGTGGACCCAAAGACTTGAAAATCAGATCTGAGTCATATGCATATACGCCCAAAATCCTGAGAGATGAATGGAGGAAAAGGGATTGCAGCATGGCCATCCCCCTAAGGGGCAATTCCTCACTTTCTCTCTGTGTCTCTGTCTCTCCAGCAAGCGCACATGCCCTACAGTTAAAAAGCAAAAACAAAGCTCTCTCTCTCAAAACAACAACAACAAAAAAGATGCAAGTGATTAGAAAAGCTGAGAGTTTGTCTTTCTGAATAGCAACGTTCCTATACTCTAGAACAACATTAATTCCATGATTGTTGTTTACCTGGGCCCGAGGCCAGCTTTCCCACACTTGAAACATGGCATCATAAAGCTGGATGCTTTCTCGGGGTGAAAGTGTAAGATCAGAAGGGAATCCATACCTCTCAATCTGTGTTTAAAATAAAATAGAAATTTTTAATATTTTTTAATATTATCAAAGTCTTATCCTTTGCTTCATGGTCATTTTCATGAAATGAAAGACATTGAAAAGCTTTAATCTAAAATATACAAATACTGATAGGCTCCAAATGCTAACAAACTACTAACCTAAGTGTCTTTGAATTACTAAAACATTTTTTAAAATCCCAAAAGCTCACCAAAATCTCTTATATTCTTTCCTAAAACCTTTTTAATGGAGCTAATAATCTATGATCTGTATTTGTAATTCAAATCAGGAAACTGAGAAGCTGAATGACTTGTGGACTCAGTTTAGATAAGAAGGTATAACCTCTACCCTGTGACTGAAACCAAAATAGATTTAATTAGGAATATGATTATTTTTAAATGACCAAGCCAGGCTAAAGAGGGCAATTTTTTTTTTATTTTTATTTATTTATTTATTGCTTAAGTTCCAAGATAAGGACTGAGTCAACTTCAAGGCCAAGTCTCTTAGACTACCTTCAATACATGTTAAGAAATTTCTTTCATGGGCTACCAACTTAGGACTGGTTTAATTCTCCCAATATTCATGCCATTCTCTTTCTCCACAATCATTTTCAAGCGGAAGTTTAAAATTCCGTGGCTGGTCTCATGACCTAGTGGTTAAAAGAGGTGGATCCCATGTGGTTGGAATTCTGGCCCCCGTGGCTTGAGAAACATGCTGGGCACATGAGAAATAATGCCCTTTTTAAAGAAATCCCAGAGAACTCTTTCATTCTCTTTACACCATGTGAAAACACAGCAAGGAAGTGCCACCTATGAACCAAAAAGTGGATCCTCACCAGACACTTAAATCTGTTGGAAACTGGTCTTGAATTTCTCAGCCTGCAGAATTGGGGGTGGGGATGTCCATGCTACAATTCCTTCTCCTCCATTTTCTTCTTGGGATTCTGGGCATGCACACACATACATCCAGCATATTTTTCAAGCCATCGGGTACAAGACTCAAACCATGCATTCTGCCATGTGGGATCCAACCACCTTAATCACCATGCCTCCATCCAGCCCTATGTTTGATTATAAAGATAGCCAGTTTATGGTATTTTTGTTATAGGAGTCTGCTGGATGGACTAAGATAATATTCTTTTTTTTTTTTAAAGAGTGGGGAAGAGGGGAGTATTTAAAGTATCCTATTAAATAGGATTCTTTGACATTTCTTATTGGCAATATTAAGTCTCAGGCTAATGACTCTTAAACAAATTTCCTCAAAACAATTAGACACCAGGGAGCTTGTTTTAGTAAACTACTAACAGGCTATGAAACTGAAGTTTGAAATCTCTAGGCAAAAGGGTCTACTCCAAACATAACATAGTTGAAAAAAATATGGAAGTGCCATTTGGAAGTGGAAAGTGCAAGAGAGTTTGAATTAGAAGATGTGATTCTAATTCTGTCATAAAATGCTAGTTCCTCATTCATAATACAGGAATTGAAATATCTGCACTTTCACCTTACAAACTTTGATGAGATTAAACAAAATTATTAGAGCAAACATATTTCCATATTTTCAGCTTAAGCTTTTACAATTGTAAGATATAAATATATGAATGTAACTACCCTCCATATCTCTCAGTTTGAGCATTAAAAGCAAGCTAAATGAAAAGGACTCCATTTTGCCAAAATACTAACTGAATATATTTGGAGTATTAGCATTTTGTCATTTACTAATTATTACTGGATGGTACCAGCAGGTGGTGTGGTGGTTAAAGCATTGCAGTCTCACATGGCTGACTGAGGTTCAAGTCCTGGACCTAGAGACTTGTTTTTTTAATTTCTCTCTCTCTCTGTTTCTCTCTGCTGAGCACATGTGCCCTATAGCAAAATTTAAAAATAATAATAATAAATAAAATTAAATAAATAATTCTTTAAAAAATTATTATTGGAAAATGCTCTCTTATTCTGCCTAACTAAAATAGAAAATAATAACTATATATACATAGATATATTAAATCAGGCTTAGTAAAATGCCTGCCAAATAATTAATGCCTCAGTTATCAATGCAATTGATTAATCATCAACTTATAGGTCTTAATTTTTTTAATCTTTTTAACAATTCTATGTCAAAAATCTGGGACCTGAACTCAGTTGTTCTCCACTACATAGTAACAAATATACAGCTAAACTCTATCCAGCCTAGGCAGAGAAGTAAATGTGATGGATTTATACCATCCTTTATTCATAAACACAACAATATTACACCATGATGCAATTTTTACAAACTTCATTGTCACTAATGCCACAGGTGATGATAAACATTGATCCACGCTAAGCAAAGAGAGGCTGCAGTTCTTTCAAGGACTTCCTGGGACTGGCATCTCTCCAGGAGTCAGCAGCTGTGCCTGTGTGGCACGATAATTGGTGGCAAAGGCCAAAGAACTGTGCTCTTAGCCAGAAAGAAACCCTATATGGATTGAAGGCAACTCCTCGCTGCAGTGGGATTGATTAAGGTCAGCTCATTGTTCTGTCCCACTTCATCCCACCTGAAGTCATTTTTAGGATATAGCTACAGAGGAGAGGACCAAGGTGGATGGCTCTTCTCTTTGTATTACCACATGTGGGGTTTTTTTTGCCATATTAATTCAAAATGTACTACACAGGATTAGGAATTTATTTACTCATTTTAAAGATCTATTTTTTTATCACTCCTACTTGTAGAGATACCCTTTATAAGCCCATATTATACACACAGCTGCCAAAACAAATTTAGTAATGTCCAAACCTTTATATTCATCTTGCTTGCTCGTCACAAAAGTCCAGAGTGCTAAAAAGACTCACACATCACCATGACCTTTACAAATGTCATATGGGGTCAGAGAACACTGTAGCAGTTCTATTGCTTTCCAGTTACTCCATTAATAGCTACTGAAAATAGAGGAAGGCACTTGGACCAGAATGACAATTTCAGCAAGGACTCCAAACCACTGTACTCACTACAGCTTAAAGATAACCTGCCTTGAACCATGCTGCATAGAATAAATTTTTTAAATACTATGCTATATTAAACATGGCAGGTAATGATGCATCTGTTACATAATCCTAGAACATCAAAAAGATGGGGAGAGGGGGATAAGGGAGAGGGAGGAAGGAAAGAAGAAAGGGAAGAAGAAAAAGAAAGAAAAAAGAAAGGCAAGGAAGAGGATAAAAAAGAGAGAGAGAAAGGAGTCTTAATATTTATGTGTGAGTTATCATCTATATTCTAGACTGAAGGGTTTAATTTATATCACATGAATTTTGTAATAGTTTACTTTTATTTATAGTTTGCATTGGGCCATTCCCACACAAGAAAGAAGCTTCTATAATAAAATTCTATTAGAAAATTACCATCTTTCAGATCTATTCAGTTGCTTTTAGAAGTCATTACATCATAGCCCAAAAGCTATAAAGGGATTCTCACTCATATAGGTATTTGTTCAACAGATGATTCAGAATAATGTGGTGAGGGGTCAGCAGGTGGCAGAGTGGTTAAGGCTCTGGGAGACTCCCACATGGCCAACTGTGGTTCAATTCTGCAGATCCAGTGGTTGGAAAATCACTCTAGGCACCTATGTGTGCATACCAAAATTATTGAGAAGAGAATGGAGAAATAGGTATTGTGGCATGTCCATCCCCCATGGAGGTTATCTGTAACTTTCCCTCTCTCTGTGTCTGTCTTTGGCCAGCACATACCCTAGGGGGGAGGGGAAGAAAATCTTTAAAAAAAAAAAAAAGAGCTACAGAATAATGTGGTGAGAGAAACTGCTCTAGGATCAACCTGCCTGAGGTTGCATCCTGGCCTCCTGGCCCCACCATTTAGTTAGTGTTACAACATTGAGTAAGTTAAGTTTTCCATGCTTCGCTTTGCTCATCTTTCTTTTTTTTTAAAATAGTTATTTATTTAATTTTATTTGTTATCATTTAATTTGACAAGAGAAGGAGAGAGAGAGAGAAAATAAGAGAGCTGTCAAGTCCAAGACTTGAACCTTCGTTGGCCATGTGGGAGTCCACCACCAGCCGCCTGCTGGCCCCTCACTTTTAAAATGGCAATAATAAGACATCCACCATAAGATTCTCATGCTGGTTAAGAGGTGAAATATAATACAAAATGCTGGATTTGGTTTGGCTGTCCTTACTTAACATGTGTTAGTAAGCACCTGGTATACCTATAGCAGTCATCAAGCACTAGGACATCAGCTTTGTCTTCAAAGAGTTGTTCTAGTAAGATAAACGCAACATTGAGGCCAGCAAGTGGCGTGGTGGTTATAGGCACAGGACTCCCACATGGCCAACTGCAGTTCAAGTCCTGGACCTGGTGAGTTGCTTTCTCACTTTCCCTCTCTTACTCTGTCTCTCTCTGCTCAAACTGGAAAATAATGATAATAATAATAATAAAATTAAATAAAATAATTCTTAAAAAAGATAAAGGAAACATTTATGTAAACAGCTTTAGCAGGCAGCCGACAATAACTGATGCCAGTAAGAAACACAGATAAGGTGAGATGGAGAGATTATATCCAGCTGAAAAGTCACAAAAGGCTACAGAGAAGGTTTCATATTAGAAGAGTAATGAAAGGTGAACAGACTCTGGATAATAGGCATTTGGCATCTGGGTGAAATATTCCAAAATGGTGCATAGCATGAGAGCTTGCAGGTAAGATACACCCAGTGGATGGAAGGAAAGGACACTGGCGTCAGATCATCGAAGATCTTGGTTGTCAAGTTAAGGAGCTATGAAGTTAGTCCTTTGCTAAGGAAAGCTACTCAAGACCTGTAAATGTCAGAATTGTGCTTAAGGAGGCTTAACAAGACAGAAATAAGAATATATTTAACTTTTCAGGTTTGGGAAGAAAGACAAACTATTGACTGATTAACAGAGACAAGGAGAGCTTAAATGAATCATTCATGAGAACAGGATGAGAAAAGAAGAGAAATATGCAAGAAATTAAGGAATTAAAAATAAATAAAGGAATCAGCAGTTAGCATAATGGCTGTCACTGAAATCCCATGTAGTCAACAGCGGTTCAAGCCACGGACCCAGTGGCTTAAATTCACGCCAGGCACGTGTGTGTGCGTGCCCAAGATCCCGAGAGGAAAATGGAGAAGGGACTGTGGTGTGGCCATCCCCGCTGGGGGGTGATTTCTCGCTTTCTGTCTGTCTCTCCCTATAGCAAAAACCTCTAAGAGAAAAAGAATTTTTTTCCTACTCACATCCCAAAGCCTCATTTTAAATCATTTTAAGGCCTCCACCTCATTAGGTTCTACCAAAAAAAACTACCAAAAAAAAAAAAAAAAAAACCCACATTGTAATTGTTATGTTAGTGAGAAGTTTCTTTTCCTTGTTTGATCTAATTCATAGTGATCAGATTCTCATATGTACAGTGATTGTGATTGTCCACATTATATTGTACCTGCATGGAGAGAAGAATTAGTGTCAGACAGGTAGACAGACTCAATACTGAGAAGGAAGAAAATGGGCAACAAAAATAACCAAGAGTAAATAAAATGAACAAAACATTCAAAATCCAAATTATAGTGGTTTGTAAGCTTCATGGGGCTAAAGACCTTTGAAGAACCCATGAAAACCAGGAAGAACATTATTGCTATTATTTAAATTCATGGTAAAATATCTGTGGTAAAATATCCATTCTGTAATGACAAGCATCAACAAGGTGGCTTCTCAGTTATGGTATTTATACTACTCAGAACAAACACGGGTAATGCATTACTTACGTGATCTGTGGTTAAGGCAGCGCAAGGGTGGAAATGATCAAAACAAATGTCATCGTGTTTCACTGAACACACGTGCTTCTCCAAATCATTGTACCGCTCTCCATAGAGCACTAAAAATGAAGAGCATGAATTTCCGAATCAATGGAAACATAATGACCAGAATCACTTTCAACTAAAAGATAAAATGGATAGAAACATATCAAGCATACCAAGTCTCACTTTATATGACTGTTTTGTTGTCACACTGTCCTTGGAGGAATTGGCACAGCAGCCATCCTTTCTTTTGGAAGCAATACTTTTTGCAATTCTACTGTCCTCTTGTTTCCAGTACTGTTTCACTGATTTTAGCCACCTTCAAAAAATAAACGTACAGTGTATTCATGCTGGAAAAATTCAGGTTGTATGAGGTAATGATAAATAGTTATGGAATGTAAAAAAATAATAATAAAATAAGGAAGAAAAAAATAAACATACATATTATTTGGGCAGGATATGAAACTATCGAGTTATTACGAAAGTCATGCACACTTTTGCATAAAAAAATACGTTGTGACTTTCCTGATAACTTCATGTTTCCTATAAAATTAGACCATCTAAGTAAAGAAAATTTCCTGTGCCTTAACAATTGTACTCAGAAGAATAGACTCTGGATCCTGATCGCCTTACTACTACCTGTGGCTTTTGGCTGAATCACTTGATCTTTCTGTGCTTGGCTTTCCATATTTTAAAATGAAAATAATAATAATTTTCACATTAGAAATACTATTAAAGTTTAATAGTAGTAATGGAAATAATAGTAAATCATAAAAGTTGCTGGGTATTTTAAATAAATTAGTATCTACAAAGCATTTAGAATCGCATCTGACACATAGAAGGAATTATCAGGGTCTTTGCTATAATTGTTATTAGTGGGCAAAAAAACAAGCCCAATGACAAATGATACGTGTTTTTCATCTAATAAAGGTTTGCTATCTTTTTTTGTGAGAAAGCATCCCCCGAGGGCATGGTCATCTCACAATCCTTTCTCTTCTATCACCTTTCAGGATTTGGGGCATGCATGCACACACAGCCAGAGTGGTTGTCTTTTTCCCCACAATTGAGTCAGGACTCAACCATGCAGTTGGTCACATGGAATCCAACCACCATGACTACCAGGCTACTGGCTGGCCCTGTTGCTACCATTTTAAACATCTCCAGGACAGGAATAATTATCAAGACCATGATCATCATGGTCTAATGCTGAGTGTGCCACTATATCATTTTATTTTATTTCATTTATTTTTAAGTGTCTTCATCTTCTTATTCCATGAGAAAGAGAGAGAGAGAAAGGAAGAGACAGGTAGTCTCAACCGTGTCTCTTTGTTGCAATCCAGCCTCAGCAGCCTGAATTCCAGACACACAGACATGCCCAAGGTTGTAAACCCGGGATCTTCCCATGTGAGTCAGGTTGAATTGCTGACACACCACCGCCTTATCCATCATTTTATTATTTTATTTTTTAGTAAAGGCAAAAATATTTTAAAAAATAAACCCACAAATATATCACTTCTGATTAACCATTTTTGAGATACGAACAGAAATTTTCTACTCAGTTGCCTATCTGACTAGGAAAGTCCTTGCTTTTCCTTTACAGAAGATGGCTTTGCGTAGCATCTGCCAGGAGGTGTTGGAGAGACAACTGGAAATCCAGAGCTAAGCTATTCAATACACAGGAGAGTTATGAAACTCTTCAGAAGTTACATAAGAAGTATGAAATTCAAACATTTAAAACAGATAGCATTCTGTCCAAACTGGAACTAAAGCCTACTCAGTGAGATGTTCTGGGTTACTTATGGTAGCTGAAAGAGCCAAAAAGGGACATCGGATCATGACAAGCAGATGCTCCCAAACTTCTGCTCCAATTTCTCCTCCAAGACAATGAACCTATAAAGAAAGAAAATTCTCAGTTGAGAAGGTGATTCAACAATAGCAAATAAAAGGCCAGCAGGTGGTGTGGTGGTTAAGGTGCTGGACGCCTACATGGTCAACCACTGTTCGATTCCCAGATTCTGTGACTTGAAACTCATGCCAGATGCATATACGTGCATGCACAAAATTCCAGAAGAAGGGATTCGGGGAGTGATTTCTTTCCTTCTTTCTGTCTCTCTCTGGGAAGTGCATGCGCCCTATGGCAAAAGCCAATTATTTTGTAATGGTTTACATATCTTTGGGAATTATTCTTAATAATGCTGTTACATAAGTTTACTCTATTTTGAGTGTGTCATTTGTTTTTTGTTTGGACAGTAACATGCAAAAATGACTTATGTAATTGACATAATTCTTAGAATCCAAATTCTTAAGAGATCAAAGATTCAATTTTAAAATCTCTGTGCAGGGCAACTTAAACCACGATGGATGAACTCTGTTGCCCTTGAAACAGTAGTGAAAAATACAAGGTTTTGGGGGGCCAGTGGTAGCTGTAGTGGTAAAGGCAGTAGACTCCCTTGTGGTCAACCATGGTTTGAGTCCCAGACCCAGTGGCTTAAAACTCATGCTAGGAGTGTTTGTATGTGTGCCCAAAATCCTGAGAGAAGATTGGAGAAGAAGAAGGGATTGCAGCATCCTCCCCAGGAGGGGGGGGAGTGATTTTTCACCTTCTGTATCTCTGTCTCTCTCTGTCTCTCTGGTGAACACACTCACCCTATAGCAAAAATCTCTCAAATAAAAACAAGGTTTCTGTCCACAAAGTGCTCTGGAGGATGCACCAATATACAGTTGAGTATTAGAAATACTACTAAACAGGAGAAGGAAGTTAAAAATCTGATTGTGATTCACCAGGGAGAACTTTCAGGAGGAAATATTTCCCTAGTCTGAATTCCATGGAAGGGGCAGATGTCCTAAAGCAGCTATAATCTTCATTGCATTGTTTATGCACCTTAGAAAATTAACCCAGAGAAATAATGACAGACCTACCTCATCAAATATAACGTATCTGATCTTTTTCACCCACTTTTGGCGGTGAGGAGCAAGTAGCAGGATTTCAAAGCAGGCAGGCACTGTAATAAGTACCTAAAAATAATAATAGTGTGTGAACTAGCATTCTGAGCACTGCCTATGGGCAGACACGGTTGTACAATTACATAAAATAGGCTTGTGGGTCCTAAATGCACCTACCAGTAGGATATAATATTGCTTCTGAAAGTTGGTTTTATTCAGTTTATGATACATTATTTTGGGCCATATGAAACAATAATTTTTAAGGGTCAAAATGGTAAAAAAAAAATAAAAGGATTTGAAATTTAAATTCTTATTTATGAGCATTCAGAGTTTAAAAATAAAAATTATTCATTGTCACAGATTGGGTTCTTCAAAACCTGTTCCCACATCGGCCCTGTAGTCCAGTGGTTAAGCATTGCACAGAGAAAGCTGGATTCCACCTGACCAAACGGGGCTGAGTCCCAGCCCTGGCAGTTTGAAAAACATAATGCATACATGTGTACCCAGGATCCTGACAGAATGAAAAATTAGAGGAAAAAGCATTGCAGCATGATCATTCCTCATTGGTGGTGGTGGGGAGGCGGGTTTCTCTCTCTCTCTTTCTCTCACTCTTTCTCTGGCAAAGGCACATACCCTCTGGCAATTAAAACAAAGAATAAATGAATTGCTCCATATCAAGCCAAAATGGCCTATTGTTTATATGTCTGCTTAGCTCAGCTACAGGATAAAGACTGTGGAGGCAGAACTGGGGGAGTTGACAGTTGGTGTCTATCTTGACCAAGATCCTGAGAGGAGAATGGAGGAGAAGGGATTGTGGCGTGGCCATCCCCCCTGGGGGGTGATTTCTTGCTTTCTGTCTCTATGTCTCTCTCTGTCTGTCTGGCGAGCGCACGTGCCCTATAGCAAAAACCTCTCCAAAAAAAAAAATGTAATTTTGTTGATAAATTGGTGTTTATTAATATTTTGTGACTTACAGAATTTTTCAGGTCATTTTAAGTCTATTTATAAACCAAGCTGATGTAATAAACTATAACTGAAACCTGAAATCAAAATGTAATTGTTCTTGGAACCAGCTGATGGAGTAATGCCTGCATTGCTGGACTCCCATGTAGTTGACTGTGGTTTGAATCCCAGACACGGTGGCTTAAAACTCATGCCAGGATGTGTGCATGCGTGCCCAAAATCCCAAGAGGAGATTATTTGGGCAGGATATGAAACTATCAAGTTATTACGAAAGTCATGCACACTTTTGCATAAAAAAATACGTTGTGACTTTCCTGATAACTTCATGTTTCCTATAAAATTAGACCATCTAAGTAAAGAAAATTTCCTGTGCCTTAACAATTGTACTCAGAAGAATAGACTCTGGATCCTGATCGCCTTACTACTACCTGTGGCTTTTGGCTGAATCACTTGATCTTTCTGTGCTTGGCTTTCCATATTTTAAAATGAAAATAATAATAATTTTCACATTAGAAATACTATTAAAGTTTAATAGTAGTAATGGAAATAATAGTAAATCATAAAAGTTGCTGGGTATTTTAAATAAATTAGTATCTACAAAGCATTTAGAATCGCATCTGACACATAGAAGGAATTATCAGGGTCTTTGCTATAATTGTTATTAGTGGGCAAAAAAACAAGCCCAATGACAAATGATACGTGTTTTTCATCTAATAAAGGTTTGCTATCTTTTTTTGTGAGAAAGCATCCCCCGAGGGCATGGTCATCTCACAATCCTTTCTCTTCTATCACCTTTCAGGATTTGGGGCATGCATGCACACACAGCCAGAGTGGTTGTCTTTTTCCCACAATTGAGTCAGGACTCAAACCATGCAGTTGGTCACATGGAATCCAACCACCATGACTACCAGGCTACTGGCTGGCCCTGTTGCTACCATTTTAAACATCTCCAGGACAGGAATAATTATCAAGACCATGATCATCATGGTCTAATGCTGAGTGTGCCACTATATCATTTTATTTTATTTCATTTATTTTTAAGTGTCTTCATCTTCTTATTCCATGAGAAAGAGAGAGAGAGAAAGGAAGAGACAGGTAGTCTCAACCGTGTCTCTTTGTTGCAATCCAGCCTCAGCAGCCTGAATTCCAGACACACAGACATGCCCAAGGTTGTAAACCCGGGATCTTCCCATGTGAGTCAGGTTGAATTGCTGACACTCCACCGCCTTATCCATCATTTTATTATTTTATTTTTTAGTAAAGGCAAAAATATTTTAAAAAATAAACCCACAAATATATCACTTCTGATTAACCATTTTTGAGATACGAACAGAAATTTTCTACTCAGTTGCCTATCTGACTAGGAAAGTCCTTGCTTTTCCTTTACAGAAGATGGCTTTGCGTAGCATCTGCCAGGAGGTGTTGGAGAGACAACTGGAAATCCAGAGCTAAGCTATTCAATACACAGGAGAGTTATGAAACTCTTCAGAAGTTACATAAGAAGTATGAAATTCAAACATTTAAAACAGATAGCATTCTGTCCAAACTGGAACTAAAGCCTACTCAGTGAGATGTTCTGGGTTACTTATGGTAGCTGAAAGAGCCAAAAAGGGACATCGGATCATGACAAGCAGATGCTCCCAAACTTCTGCTCCAATTTCTCCTCCAAGACAATGAACCTATAAAGAAAGAAAATTCTCAGTTGAGAAGGTGATTCAAAAATAGCAAATAAAGGGCCAGCAGGTGGTGTGGTAGTTAAGGTGCTGGACGCCTACATGGTCAACCACTGTTCGATTCCCAGATTCTGTGACTTGAAACTCATGCCAGATGCATATACGTGCATGCACAAAATTCCAGAAGAAGGGATTCGGGGAGTGATTTCTTTCCTTCTTTCTGTCTCTCTCTGGGAAGTGCATGCGCCCTATGGCAAAAGCCAATTATTTTGTAATGGTTTACATATCTTTGGGAATTATTCTTAATAATGCTGTTACATAAGTTTACTCTATTTTGAGTGTGTCATTTGTTTTTTGTTTGGACAGTAACATGCAAAAATGACTTATGTAATTGACATAATTCTTAGAATCCAAATTCTTAAGAGATCAAAGATTCAATTTTAAAATCTCTGTGCAGGGCAACTTAAACCACGATGGATGAACTCTGTTGCCCTTGAAACAGTAGTGAAAAATACAAGGTTTTGGGGGGCCAGTGGTAGCTGTAGTGGTAAAGGCAGTAGACTCCCTTGTGGTCAACCATGGTTTGAGTCCCAGACCCAGTGGCTTAAAACTCATGCTAGGAGTGTTTGTATGTGTGCCCAAAATCCTGAGAGAAGATTGGAGAAGAAGAAGGGATTGCAGCATCCTCCCCAGGAGGGGGGGGAGTGATTTTTCACCTTCTGTATCTCTGTCTCTCTCTGTCTCTCTGGTGAACACACTCACCCTATAGCAAAAATCTCTCAAATAAAAACAAGGTTTCTGTCCACAAAGTGCTCTGGAGGATGCACCAATATACAGTTGAGTATTAGAAATACTACTAAACAGGAGAAGGAAGTTAAAAATCTGATTGTGATTCACCAGGGAGAACTTTCAGGAGGAAATATTTCCCTAGTCTGAATTCCATGGAAGGGGCAGATGTCCTAAAGCAGCTATAATCTTCATTGCATTGTTTATGCACCTTAGAAAATTAACCCAGAGAAATAATGACAGACCTACCTCATCAAATATAACGTATCTGATCTTTTTCACCCACTTTTGGCGGTGAGGAGCAAGTAGCAGGATTTCAAAGCAGGCAGGCACTGTAATAAGTACCTAAAAATAATAATAGTGTGTGAACTAGCATTCTGAGCACTGCCTATGGGCAGACACGGTTGTACAATTACATAAAATAGGCTTGTGGGTCCTAAATGCACCTACCAGTAGGATATAATATTGCTTCTGAAAGTTGGTTTTATTCAGTTTATGATACATTATTTTGGGCCATATGAAACAATAATTTTTAAGGGTCAAAATGGTAAAAAAAAAATAAAAGGATTTGAAATTTAAATTCTTATTTATGAGCATTCAGAGTTTAAAAATAAAAATTATTCATTGTCACAGATTGGGTTCTTCAAAACCTGTTCCCACATCGGCCCTGTAGTCCAGTGGTTAAGCATTGCACAGAGAAAGCTGGATTCCACCTGACCAAACGGGGCTGAGTCCCAGCCCTGGCAGTTTGAAAAACATAATGCATACATGTGTACCCAGGATCCTGACAGAATGAAAAATTAGAGGAAAAAGCATTGCAGCATGATCATTCCTCATTGGTGGTGGTGGGGAGGCGGGTTTCTCTCTCTCTCTTTCTCTCACTCTTTCTCTGGCAAAGGCACATACCCTCTGGCAATTAAAACAAAGAATAAATGAATTGCTCCATATCAAGCCAAAATGGCCTATTGTTTATATGTCTGCTTAGCTCAGCTACAGGATAAAGACTGTGGAGGCAGAACTGGGGGAGTTGACAGTTGGTGTCTATCTTGACCACATTCCTCACATCTGGGCAACAAGTTCACTTTTGAAAGGTGATCTAGATAGCACATCTCCATGTCTACCACACAATGTTTTATAATTATATGTTCACTTTTTTGCTCAATCTTAATTATTGATCTGTGGGATCGATAAAGAGGAAACTATCTTGTTGATAAATTGGTGTTTATTAATATTTTGTGACTTACAGAATTTTTCAGGTCATTTTAAGTCTATTTATAAACCAAGCTGATGTAATAAACTATAACTGAAACCTGAAATCAAAATGTAATTGTTTTTGGAACCAGCTGATGGAGTAATGCCTGCATTGCTGGACTCCCATGTAGTTGACTGTGGTTTGAATCCCAGACACGGTGGCTTAAAACTCATGCCAGGATGTGTGCATGCGTGCCCAAAATCCCAAGAGGAGATGGAAGAGAAGGGATTGTGGTGTGGCCATTCCCCCTAGGGGTGATTTTTCACTTTCTGTCTCTCTCTGTCTCTCTGGCTAATGCATGTGCTCTATGGCAAAAAAAGCTCTCTTAAAAAAATGTAATTATTCTTAGACAAAACTGAGTTCTATTTCTTACCCTAGAATATAAAAACATATTGTCTGCAAAGTTATTTCTTCTTTCATGAATTCAAAAAAATAATTTTCACAAGACCGCATAAAGATACTGAATTTCTAGTCAAAAAGACATATAAATACTGTTATACAATTTGATAACAAGAGCATTGGTTAATATACCCTACCTGGCAGTTTAGGGCATCATGACGATAATCCCTCGTGAAAACGCCACATAGAGCTAGCCCACTTGGCAGGTTTTTGGTATAACGATGCTGAACAGTTGCTGCGACTTGATTGACAAGGGCCTGATTGACAAGGGAAATGTATAATCACATAATCACATATGAATTGATGACATTTCAGAGGACAACAAGAACTATTTAAAAGTGTCTTGCTATAAGTGCAGTAAGTTTAATAACCCCTTTCTTCTACTCACTTACTTTAAATACACTAAAGTGCTGTCTTTGGGATACTTTTTCTTTTTAGAGAGATTTTTGCTACAGAGTGTGTGCACTCACCAAAGAGACAAAAAAGAGTCAGAGAGACAGAAAGTAAGAAATCATCTACCAGGGGAATGGTCATATCACAATCCCTTCTCTGTTCTTCTCTTGAGATTTTTGGGCACACATGCACACGTGCCCACCATGTGTTTTAGGCTGCTGGTCTGGGACTGAACTGCTGTTGACCATGTGGGAATCCAGCAACATAACTACTATGCCATCTGTTGGTCTTGGGATACAGTTTTTTGAGATAGGGTCACACTATGTTCCTCAAACTGTCCTGAAATTTGAAATCTTCCTGCCTTAGCCTTCTAGTAACTGAAATTATAGGCACTTGCCACAGTAGGAGTCTTCTTTGTGATTATTTGACCATGCATATGTACCTCAACATAACCCTCAATCTAAAGTTAAGTGAGAAAATAATGTCTTCATCAGAAGGAAAAACAGAAACTATTACCCATACATCAGAAAAAAAAAAAAAAAGTTGCTAAATACTTTTATGACCAAGGCTTAGAGAGAAGTGGCTATGTCACTGGACTTTTTCATAGTCAACTGTGATTCGAGTCCCAGGCCCGGTGGCTTAAAACTCACACCAGGCCTGTGTGTGTGTGTGTCTGTGTGTGTGTGTGTGTGTGTGTGTGCCCAAGATCTCAAGAGGAAAATGGAGGTGAAGGTGCTGCAGCGTGACCATTCTCCTGGGAGGTCTTCTGTCTTCTGTCTCTCTGTCTCCACAGTGAGCACATGCGCCCAGTAGGCAAAAATCTCTGTTGAAAAAGGATAGAAAGAAAAAGGTCAAGCAAAGGGATAGACAAGGTAGACTTATGAATGCTCTATTTGCAGACTTCCCTGGAAGCATTCTAAGTGAATACAGCCATGCCCTGGATCAAGCAGAGTAAAATCCAAGTGTGTGGAAACCTGTGGACATTTATTTCATGCTTTATGCTAAAATTATTCTTAAAAATAAAAACAATGATTCAATTTATTCAAAAATCATTGACAAAGGGCCAGTCAGTGGTTTAGTAGCTGGATGCTGGACTCCCACATGGTCAACCACAGCTGAAGTCCCAGACCTAGCAGCTCAAATCACTTTCCTCTGTCTCTCTGGTGAAAAACACTAAAAGTGAATGAATGAATGAATAAATAAATAAATAAGTCTTTAAAAAATTTTTAAATTTATTTACAATTTAATATGTACCAAAAATACAAGTGATATTTATAACAATGACTTACAGATACTTACAGATACAAATAAATGATAAACTAAAATTTTTTAAAGATAAAAATAAATAAAATGAACTAGATCGAGCACATGACCATAATGTGCATTATTTTTTAAAAAGGAAGTCCAAGCATGAAAGAGGATATTACGTTCACTTGAGCCCTACCTTTGTTGGAGCAACATACACAACCACCCCTTCATCGCTCTCCTTCAGCACTTTCTCCATGCAGTAATAGGAAGCATAGGTTTTGCCCGAGGATGTTGGGGCAACAATTACTGCTGACTCATAATTATCCACAACGTCGAGAAGCTCTCGCTGTGAAATTCAGAGCACCATTGATGTCAATAACGTGAACAACATGGTACTAAGCAAATACATGAATGCACTGTCAGTACAATGTTCTGAACCTCAAATGCATGATCAAGAGTTGTAAGCACACAGGAAGATCTATAGGTGGAGCCAGATGGTGGTGTAAAGGTAAAATACAGTGCTCCACAAGGCAGTCTCACTTGGGAAAGTCCCTAGTTCAAGTCCAGAGATCTCTCTGAGTAGGCTGGGCACATATGAGCTCATGACTCAGAGTGGTTGAAGCTGGGGTTGTATTATGATGTTGGAACCCTGTTATGGGTGCTCTCTCTCTTTCTCACACATGGAAGAAGCACATTAAATAAATAAATGAATGAAAGTCCAGGAAATCTAAAGAACTCACATCATTATCTCATTAGAGATCACTCTTCATGCTTTGAGGCATCTGAAAAGTGGATTTCATGTGTGAAAAATGGAGAATGTATCAAAAGAAAGTTATCTTCCTATTGGGTAGATTTTAAAATAATTGTTGTCACGCAGTAAATGCAAAATGGCTTTGAGAAATTAAACTCTAAGGAGTAGCTAGTATTTATATTTGGGATGGATGGTAGAAAAAAATGGCTGAGGAGGGGAAATATCAAAGTGGACATTGGGGAAGTTTTGACACATTTTTACATGGAAAACTGTCATAACTTCCCCAGTGACCTAGTATATAGAAGAATGTCAGGTATACCCTTCTCTACAGGATGTGTGGGAGCTTCATGCCTTAAGTGTATGCTTTTATTCATCCTAATAGTGACTAGGTGAAGAATCATAAGCCTGTATGATGGGCAGATGATGAAAAACATATCTCAGAATCCCAACTACCCTTCCTATAACCTTGGTCCACTTCCAGTCACACCTAAGAGTGAACTATACTCCAGAAGTATTTCGATGATCATAGGATTAATGGATGGCACTGACTACCTCATGTCCTGCATTGAAATAAAAAACTGGCCATCCTACCCTTGAAAAAGAATCATGAATTTTTTAAGGCCCTGTGGCATCATCAACATAAAAAAAAAGATTGTGTCAGATTCTGAATGGAGCAGTCTTGTAGACTAAATCTACAAAACTGCATTTTTATAAGTAAGCATGTTCAATCTTTTAGCAATTCTGCATTTTTTCAATGGATGCATCAACTCACTCTCCCAAATTTTGTGACCATTAATGTTAAGTGTCCATCTATTATAAAAGAATAGCTACTATAGAACAGGTGTAGTATGTCACTATCTAAACAACTGTCTACTTAAACTACCCTAATTTCTCTATGCACACCCATTTATTTACACATGAAATCTTGTTGACACAGGAAAAACCTGGGGGTTGCTCCATTTGGAGGGGGAGAGAACTTTCAAACTACGGAAGTGAATCCATCAAAGTTGAGTCCAATAAAACATGGTCTATATATTCAATGAAAATTTCATTTTCTTTAAGTGGAAAAAAAATTGTCTACATTTGACATTTTCAACAACACTTTGAAATGACATGAGTCCATATTCAGAAGTTCATATGAAATATAGTGTGTAGAGTGACAATATTGAGAAACTCCTGAGCTCACATACAAGAAAAGATAAAATCTATGTATATTTCTTTCATTACCTGCCATGTGTCGGGAATAAAATCCTGGACCCTGGAGTCTGGATCTTTTCTCTCTTCTCGTATCAAATAATGGCCCATGTATTGTAGTTGAAATCGAGCTGGCCCAATGCCAATTGAATATTTATTCTTTTTCTTCTTTATGTCATCTCTTGTGTCCTATAGTATTTTCCAAGGCAATTTTTAAAGTGATTTTAAATTGTAAAATTATCAAAATACTTATTACTGAGCACCTTTGTGAAAAGTACTTTATCACCTTTTAAATTTTGTAAAAACTTTACCATTTAAATCATTAACTTAATTGTGAATAAAATAGTAGTCATCAAGATTTTCATTTATAGGGAACCAGCAGTTGGTGTAATGGCTATGTCGCTGGACTCCCACGTAGTCAACCGTGGTTCGCGTCCCGGACCCGGTGGCTTAAAACTCACGCTGGGCACGTGTGTGTGTGCACCCAACATCCTGAGAGGAGAATGGAGGAGAAGGGATTGCAGCATGACCATCCCCTCTGGGGGGCGATTTCTCGCTTTCTCTCTCTATGTCTCTGTCTGTCTGGTGAGCTCACGCGCCCTATAGCAAAAACCTCAAAAAAAAAAAAGATTTTTCATTTATACATTATGGTATTTTAGATACAAGCTGATATATATTTAAAGACAATTGAATAATCATACTGCAGTTTTGAGATGTTTTGTTAGAATTAAATATAAAGCTCCTTATACGGGTCTGCAGAGATCTCATATGTAATCTCTTTGTGCAAGCAAATATTTGTTCAAATATTCTTATTCTAGATTACGTCAACATTGAGCAGTTTGATTACTAACAATGATAGTGATGATAATATTTTTCAGTACAATGAAACTGTAAAAGAGATACCTGTATTGGAAGATACTTCATGTATGCCTAATAAGTACTCTATTAAAATGAAGTTATTCTGAAAATATTACCTGAGTTGAATAGAAAGAACTTGCCAACTCGTCAAATCCTAAATACTTAAGGCATCTGGCTATGAGTTTTCGATCTGTTTCTTGCAAAAGTTCTGAGTATTTTTCTACCAAAGAGTGGATCCTTTTCATCATTTGAACAGCTATACTTAAATCTTTGGGGGTTTCACCTTGGTAAAGAACAGACAATAAATTGCTACAAAGACCATCAAAAAATAATGTTTTTTGATTATCCAAGATTAATTATTTAGTCTATCAATCTTAATTCAACTCACAATTTTACTTCGCATTAATGGAGGTTTAGGGATATAAGCTGAGTGGGTTATGATTTCTTTCTGCAGAGAATAGTACCATCTAACACAAGCAGTCTAAGTTTGTCTAACAGGGAGTTTGACCTCATAGAGGATAGCCAGGAGCCCCTACCAGCCTGAACTGGTTGCAGCCTGAAAAGATTAAGGGAAAAGAAACCCTCACCAAATTTGGTGATCTTTTACTCATTGTAATACTAAACTCTCTTCCCTAAGAGGAGCTACAGCTCCATTTACATAACATATGACATATGGAGAAGCATAACCAGCCACTGCATTCTGCTAACAAGAGCCCACCTTCACATGCATGACCCTCAGTCCTGTCCTCTTTTCCTAATGAAAGCCTTGGCACACCAGATCTTGGGGAGACACAGCTATGGGAATAATCCCTGATGTTCTACTTGTGGGTTTACAACAAAGCTTCCCTTGTGCAAACTGACATGCTATAGTCCATTGACCAGACTCCTGCTATGTAGATGGACCCTCTTTTGGGTCACTTACAGGAGTAGAAATGATTAAATGAGTGTTCAATTATTACTTCAACATCTTTATGGATTATTGGGAAGTCTCTGTGTCAGTATTAGAAAAAGGGGGAAAGCTTGTATAGTTCATGATAGATTGTTAACACTCAAGTTTTGGGGGACAGCAGGTGGTGTGGTGGTTAAGGCAACAGGATTCCAACATGACCAACTGAAATTTGAGTCCCAGATCTAGTGGCTTGAAAACCACACCTTGCACATGTGTGTGCATGCCAAAAATTTTGAGAAGAGAATGGAGAAGAAGGGATTACAGTGAGGTCATCTCCCCTGGGGGGGAGTGATTTCTGTCTTTTCCTCTCTCTGTCTCTCTTTTCTCTGATGAGTGCAAATGCCCTATAGCAAAAACAAAACAAAACAATCCTCAAATTCATATAAGTCCATTAACAAATTATTTTCTCTACCTATCATTTTCATATCTCATCTACTATATTCAAATAAAAAAATATTTGTATAACCTTAAATGTCTGGTTAAAACTTAGCAATTTCTGGATCCAGCAGGTGTCATGGAGGTTAAGGTGCTCGACTCCCACATGACTGATAGCAGTTCAAGTCAACAAGGCAGGGGGCTTGGTGGCGCCCGTCCTATGGCAAGTCAGCAAGTCAGCCTGCATTGTCTCTCTCTCTCTCTTTCTCACTCTCTCCTCTCTTTCTCTCTCTCTCTCTCTCCCTCTCCTTGTTCAAACTGAAGAACAATAATAATGATAATGAATAAAATAAATAATTCTTTAAAGAAAAAAACTTAGCAGTATTTATTGAGTCCTACTGCTGACCACAGGTAAGTATTTGGAGTAGTCACTAGGGTCCTTCAAGTCACTTAATCTATTCCAACTGCAGATCCAACTTACTGATCCTGTTCCATTTCTTTATAATCATGTATATTCTTTTTATTTCTCCTCTCTGCTAATCTTCCTGTGCTTATCATATCAGGGCCATTTTGATTATACTTTTCTTCTAATCAATATATATTTGATCTATTTAACAGAAATCATCAAACACTTTCTGAATGTTTTAAGAGGCTACAAAGAAAATTTGATAGAATTCTTATTTTCCAAGCACTCCTAGTTCACTTACAAAGACAATGCACAATACTTTATCAGCCCAAATTGAACAATATTATACGTGTTATGTGAACTGGATTATTTGAGAAAGTCTTTATGAAAAAATATTTTATGAAATGGATATGGAGGACAGGTGGAATTCAGGTAAATGCAAAACATGGATAGAGAGATCTTTGGCAAATACTACTAATTGTTTACTCAACACATAGCACCCAAAATTCCTTATATGCTTCTCTATATAGTTAGGAGCTACAATGTACCCAAGTAAGGTCTATGTTACCAGCACGGTTTCTGGTTAAATGCAGCCTTGTGGCTAAGTACTGGATAATGGATAACAAAGCAGAAGTTGTTAATGATTAGGAAAACTCTTTAAATGAGAGACACATAACTGGAATAAGACAATTCTGCCTTCCTCCCTTTCCCCTAATATCTACTAGAAGTTAGTCATCTAGGAATAGAAGGCAAACTGAAGAACAGAAGATATGTGCCAGTGACAGTGGAATACAAAGATGGAGGAGCTTGGGTTACCGACAACACTGTGGAGCTGCCATAGCAGCCCTGAACTGCCTGCATGTAAACATTACTTAGCAAGTGAAACAGACTACTATTTCTTTAAGACACTATTGCATCTAATATTTCTTAATAACTGCCAACTGCAAATCCCGATTCAACATTTTCATTGTGGAGGAAAACAAAACCTAAGTCTATGCTGCTCACCAGGATGGAATACACAGTGAGAGGCTGATTTTGTGTGATTAAAGGTAATAGAATAATGAGGGGTGGCAGGAGCAGATGGGGAGAGAATCCAGAAGTTATGTGTTAAACGAATTCAGTTGTGGAGATACTCAAGATTGACAGGCCGACTGGGTTTACTCCGAAGACTTGTTGGTTTGAAGGTATTATAGGGCATATCATTTCACCTGCTACCAATCTACACATTCCTATCCAGCCCCTTTTCATCTTAATCTTCTTCTTTCTACCTCTTTTTATCTTTTCTAACACCTGCTATAGAAACTGCAAGCTAGAGCACATGGAATCCACAGCAACTTTGGAAGAACTTGGTGTGCTAGTCATGCATATCATTTAATCCAGAAAGGATAGATTTATTCTTCAAGTCTCAAAAGTAAATGGCAAATTCTCCCTGGGTACCTCCCTGTCTTTATCAAGTCCCTTAAGGATGCTCATAACATTTCAGTTATTTTAAAACCTGTCTTTGGTTGTGCTTATGAATGTGCTACATATCTGCTACTGGGACACTCTCTAAGCCTTCATTGCTCATTGATTAAATAGAGGTAATAATAGTACATAAAATGAGAATGCATGCAAGTCTTTTAACACAAATTTCCAGTTAATAAATGACAACTATCATCATTACATTCATATTATTTCTCCAATTCAGCAAAATAAGAAACAGAATCATATACCTTCACTTCGGCAATATTCTTTCCACGCTTTTAAGCAGGAGGTTAACCCTACCATTTCACCTCGATATTTCACTGAATTACTTTTACAAGATTTCAAAAAGTCTTCCAGGTTCTTTATTCCAGAGCTTAAATTCTCCTTCATTTTCTCTTCAATAGAAAATGACAGAGCATTCCATTTTTCTTCTTCCTTTTGTTCTTCCTTGGCAAATAATCTTTTCTTATTCTCTCTAGTAATTATGTCAGCTTTGGTCTCCTGCCCAAGAAAAAAGAAACATATCTTGAAACAAGATGGAACTATTCCAAATAACATTTCACAAGTGAGATATTTGTAAGCATATGTCGATGACTTTGCCTGATCATCTCATTCTTGAGTTGGCATGAAAATAAGTCTGTTTCTTAGCTAAGTCTATGGTAATTTAAAAGTGACAATAACTCAATGTAGTGAGTATAAAGGCTCTCTGTAGATGATGTTCTATAGTTCTAAATAGTGTGGACTATAAATAAAAGACTAACTTTCATGCCCTGCTATTTTTTCATCTTCCAAATCAGAATGACTTTGTCTCAATAGGTGGCGTGTACTGTGAAAACGCTATGCTTTGTAGTCTGAGACCACATGGGAGACCCAGGATTGACCCCTAAGACAACTGAAACACTGAGGAGGGTGGCAGGCACCTGTAATCCCCAGAATAGGGAGGGTGAGGCAGGAGGATCACAAGCTTGAGACTGGCTTGGGCAACATAACAGGTTCCTGTCTAGAAAAGAATCAGGCATAGTGTGTGCACCTGTAGTTTCAGTGGGACACTGAGGCAGGAAGATTGTGACATGGCAATATCTTGTCTTGGAAAAAAAAAATATATATATCTATAAATTTATGAGTTTGTAGATTATAAATAAAGAAGAAATAAAATAAAATTTAAAAGACCACTGGACCACTGTTTTTTCATGCAGTGGTACCTGCTGTTCTCTCTGGAATCACCTTTCGTTTTCCTTTTCTCCTCAGGCACCTCTGTTCCCTATTTGTTCCTGAAGAAATTTCTTCCATGAAGCCTTTCCTGACTCTCTCAATTCTAAGTTATATATTCTTTTTCTGCCTGGCATCTGCCTATCAAAACACTCATTAAGATGTGTTGTAATTGTAATTTTACTTATCATTCTTCCTCTCTAGACTGAAATCCCTGAGAATGAAATGTGCCATGATCAACACTACATCCCAAGCCCCAGCATTTAGTCCATAATGTTTATTGGATAGATGAGAAAAGATAAAGGAATGAAGGATAGGGGTGGATAAAGGGAACAATACAAATGCAACTGATTTTCTCTATGTAGATAAGCATTTCTGATTGATCAGGACACAATGTGGACCTACTTTTACTACATTTTTATGAACCTGATTTATTAATCTACAAAGACAAATGAGAGAATCGTAGAAATGAGCATTTCACACATTTTGCACTATTCTGGTTAGTTATGAAATTGATACGTGAATGTTTGCCCATAATGAAGTCAAATTTAGCTGTCATCACTAAGTATTTAATTCTAATGAATAATATTTAAGCTTTCCTAATGTTTAATCTTCCAAATCAGAATGACTTTGTCTCAAT